ATTAAAATAAAATATAAACAGGGTGTCATCATAGAACACAGAAAATGATTTATTTAATAAATGCATTTACGATGTATAAGCATCGGATTTATTGTGAAATGGATTCCACGGTGCTGGATTTTGTAGAAAATGTCGTTCTCACCATGCTTACTGGCTATTGAAATAATGACTTCCAGGATATCAATATCAACAGTCTAGTACGTACATGTATTCAAAGGCGGATCCAGCACCGGCGTGCTAGTCCAGTGGTTATTGACAAGAGTTTTAATAGATGTCATTACATTTTCATTCATTTTTAATAATCTACTGCATATAGCTCCCTTGGAAGAGGGAGAAGAAAATCTTTCACCACAAGCTATTTTGTGGCAAGTTTGGTGAAACTGGTCTGGTTTTTCTTGAGTAAAGGTCAAAAATGTGAAAAGTCTACAGGCGACATATGACGGATATACACGACAGACGGACGTCTAGCTCTTTTTGATTAGAAAAGCGAAGAAGGTATTTTATATTTCGTATTAATGCATGGAACATTTTTTATAATTTTATGTTTGTTACTTGAAACAGAATTCAAGCAAGAATATCAGAGCACAGTGACAATATGCTCACAATGAGCTTCACACCATAATTAATAAGTAATTGTTTTTTTTTTTTTTTTTGTTCTTTTGTTTTGATTTGTTTTGTTTGTTTTTTTCACTGTTCAGAAAGATCTTTTAAAAACCTCTCAAATTTTGCAATTTCTTGTTCATGGTGCTTTCTTAATTCCTGCATGAATTCATCTAATGTGCTTGCAGGTTCACTCATCATTTCTATGATCTTTATTTGAAGAGATTTTGATACTTTGGGTTTGGTTTTGGGTTTCTTTGAGGGAGACTTTTTCGACTCTCCTGGACTTCTTTACAACCTCCATCATCATTTATATTCCACCATCATTAAGATTTACATTATCTGTGTCAATCAAAAAGTTTGGTTTAGTAGATGGTTTTTCTCATACAATTGACAAAATTTGTCATAGTGCTTGCAGGTTTACATGTATTTGTCATTTCCGTTTTTATTGCTATGGTCTGCAACTCCTTTGAATTTCTTCTTAAGGTTCATTCATTTATTTTGTGCTTGTTTTGCACTAATACTGACGTTATTTCCTATCAATTTCTCTGATTTCTCCATAGTGTCGCATGGCTTTTGGAAGAGGTTAATTCCTCTTCCATGTTTGCTCTTACTTCAAACAAACACTTCTCTTCTTTGTCTGTCGGGTAGTGGAATTCGGACTCTTCGTTTCCAAGATACTTTCCTTTCATCTCTTCACTTTGCACAGGTTTTATTTCCACTACTTCGTTTTCCACATCCTTTCCTTTGCTCACTTTCTTTGTGCAGACTTTTCTTTTGCCTTGTTTCATTCGATCTCTTTTATTACGATATTTATTCCAACTTGCCTTAAGCTTACTGAGGGATCTAAAAACGGATTTTGGCAAAAATAATAAATTCATTGTACAACTTACAATTTCAATAAACCTACCAGAGGAAATTAGCATTTCTACAATTTCTGGTGTTACTAACATACTACTAATTTTCTCCTCCCATCTTTAAATCTATTTGAATCCTGAAATTGAGGGAAAAAATGGTACGTTAATATGGCTGTTTACTGTGAACAAATGTCGACAATTTTTACATTTCAATACACATTTATACATTGTATTTTGTTATTTAAATCTTAGGCCCATTCGGGCCTTAATTTGTAATAAATCCATAAATCCTCTCTTATCCATAATAATAATTTGTTGTAAATAAATGTATCACACAATTTAAAGGTTTTATTTGTATTCCAACAGATACATGTATCTCCACCAGGCCTACACAATTTTGCATTACGCTGGTAATGCACACTTACAGTATAGCGAAAGAACTTTGGGACTATGTTGCTTATCTTGTAATGCATGAAGAACCATTGATACTCAAATTAACTCAAAGAAAAAAAAATGGTGGGAGTTCTGGAAAGAGTAATCTGATTATTTAGACGAATTTATCGAAATAACCGTGCTGTGAAATTCATCAAACGGCTGGACTAGACTTCAATTCTTGTGATGTCCAATCAGTCCAATGCCCAATAAACGTTGTTTTTATAATTAAAGTTAAAATCAGAATTTTAACAAACCTTAATATTTGCCCTTAACGTAATAAGTATGTATAGTTTTGACAACTTACATTTCCATTTAAAGTCCTCTGCATATCTCTTGAAATGCTCAAAATTCTTCTTTTCGATTTTCAAGCAAAGGAGAGGGACATTGTAAAGAAGAACAAAGATCGTGAGAAGTATCAATTCCCTTTCAACATGTTCAAGGCCCGAGAGATAAACTTGAAGTTCAATACAAAAATAACCAAGACCTTTAGATGTAACTTCAAGTAGAGAATGTGACAAATCCTGAACAACTACTGTGTAATATTTTAAAATTATTCTTTTTAAGGCTTTTAATCTTGACCTTTAAAACGTTGAGTTAAATAACTAGAAGTTGAATCAAGATAAAACATCAAAGCAATTTCAGCTGCTGTCAAAAGCATATTGACTCGAAGTCATCCTAGATTTACCATATAGTCCGATATTGAAGAATAAGATAATGGAGGCTGCATGATGACACCATTTTCGTTGACGAACTTCCATTGCAGAAAGATTGTAATTGGTAATCTAACTTATACTCAAAGTTCCCTTTCTAAGAAAGAAATTCTTCAAAATCATATGTCAGTTTTGAATATTTTCAATATTCCAAACAACCAAAATGAAGTTGAATTACCATATCTATATTGGATTCCGAAACGTCATAAAAATTCTTCTAATAAAGATACATAGCGGGTTCCAGTAAATGTTCAACCAAGCCTCTTTCTTTACTCCTCACTAAGATATCAACAGTAGTGAAGGAGAAACGTCAAGAGTACTGTGCAACAATATATTCGAGAAGTGGTGTAAATCAAATGTGGATACTTAAAAATTCCAAGGAACTTTTGGAAAATTTGAAATCACACGATTTTACCAAAATCAACAGCTTAAAAACTTACGACTTTTCAACTTTATACACAACCATTCCCCACGATAAATTAAAGTCCAGGCTTTTTGATATCATTGACAGCTGCTTTTTCAATAAAAATGGAACTCGTAAGTTTACTTACCTTGTCATTGGTCATTTGCAAAACTATTTTGTTAAAAAAACATCCTGATTGTACACACAAGTACTCTGAAGTTGACACTAAAAAGATGCTTGAGTTTCTGATTGACAATATCTATGTGGTTTTTGAAGACCAGGTCTTCCAACGATTTATTGGAATTCCCATGGGTACCAATTGCGCCCCGTTATTAGCAGACCATTTTGTATTCATATGAAGTAGAATTTGTCCAAAATCTTATATGTGAAAAGAAGAAAACACTTGCTGTGGCATTCAACTCGACATTTAGATATATCGACGACGTATTGTCAATAAACAACAAACAAACAAACATCCGATTCACTACAGCTCCGGTTGCCACAGAATCGCTGTACAATCTTGCAATGTTGAGATATTCTGACTTAGGAAACAGCGCTTTATTATGTTTTCTAATATGAATTTAATAGGTATGATACTAAATATTAATTTCATATACACCTCATATTTTTAATTTTATGTTGTGATAACAAATCATTACTCTTTCTATCCTCTGAGTAAAATTTCTTCATATCATTATCCGACATAAAAATTATTTCTGAAAAAATAAGCAGCGCTTCATACCTCATTCTGTTTTCCATTTGAAGCTGATTCTATAGCTCTTGATGAAAATCAACGTTTGGAAGTTAAAAAAAAAAGTGAGATAGAGCAGAGGGTTATTAGTCCTTAAATGGCAATATTTTTGACCAGATGAAACACAAATCTTTACTTTTCTTACAAACCTGTTAAAAGAAACACCATGCAGAAACCATACAGACTGCCCTTTCACACTATTCTATTTTCAAACACGGCAATCTGTTACATTTTTTCTGCAAGAAAGTTTGTGAATGCAAACATAGAAATCACAAACCACAGAAGAAACACAAATTTCATCCTCCAAAAAGTGTGAGCACGATTTTCATTCTATAAAATGGTTAAGTTTCAATTAACATTGTATTCATTAATAAGTTTAAGATTTTTTAAAAGGCTTCACTTTTAACTATGGTAACATATTTACTCATCAGATTCATCATAAACAATTTTGAAATGGTAATTAATTTTATATGGTGATGCGTCATTCAATGGCATATTTTTTATTAGTATGACGTCGCGCACAGTATTTGGGTTTTCAATTGCGTAATTTGTAACACTTAAAGACAGTCTTTAGTCCTTTTATCGTTTTGACTGCATAGATTTTGCTAATTTGCACATATCTTCTATAACGTCCTGTGTTGGTATGGTACAAAATTCGTTAATAACATTCCAATACTGGCCGATTCCGACCATTCGTAAAAATAGTAGCATTCCGTAATATGCTCTGATTTTGAAAAGTAACAAGGAAAAGTGGAATGTTTGGTAAAGAAATTTTACTTTATAGCAAGTTCTTTTGGTAAAACTAAAGTGATAAATGTAATGTGCAAATGGAGAAGAAGACAAATGTTTCTTTCGAAGTTATAAGCCGGTATCTGAGGGACTGGTGGGCCGATTTTGATGTCTAGTCGTTTTGTTACAATACATTGCACAAATAAACATATTTTGATATTGTATGGGACCTATTTGATAGTTGAGAGCTCTATTCTTTTATTTTTTTAATGGAATACTTGGTACAGATAAAATGTTATTTTTGAAATGTGCAAATAAATAAAATTTTATATTAAAAAAAAAAGAAAAAAAGTCAAGCTTTTTTTAAAGAAAACAGAGCAAAAAGGGATGTCTAGTATATAATTTAATATGCATTCAATTTTTAACGTTTTCGTGCTTAGACAACGTCTGAAATAACGTCAAAAATGGATTTCTTGAACACTTGCTTTTTTTTTTAAGGGAAATACAAACCTGTCACCAGTAGAAAAAAATAATTTATTTTTAAAAATAGAAAGAATAAATAGAAAGTGAAAGAAGACAAAATAATCCAAAAAAAGTCTGGGTCTTGTAAAAAATAGTCAGCGCTGCTGAACTGGGTGTTACTTTAACGCATATTTGAAAAAAAAATATTTACAATTATATTGAAACATGATGTTAAATCTGATGAAAACGACACCTATGAGTTGGATGACAAGAGATATGGTCGAACTATAAATAAACGTTACCTCAGCAATTTATACATCTACATTTTGAAACAATTATTCGCGATATGAAAGATATAATCACTGACCTGCCAATGACAGCAGTTATACACTGGCCTGTCTCAACCATACAGCTGCATAAAGTTCATTTGATTTTTAATCCAGCTTAACGTGCATCGCTTGAAGAAGACATAGAGCAGCAGTTAAACACTGACCTGCATGTTAAAGACCCTATTAAAATTGAAATGATTTTATCCTTATATATCTATGTAAAGCATTTGACTTCCAACGTCCCAAATGTTGAATACAATTTTCTGAATATCCTATATGCGCAGCATGAGTGGCCGCACCTATACGAAAACTGTGACCTTTAAAACGCTTGGGGTCAAATCCTGCAAAGGATATGGCTTTTGAAAGCTGAGAGCTGACAAAGGAGTATGTGACCGGGGTGCCGTCTACAAATTGAAAAAAATGGACCTGCTGAGTGAGGTGATTTTGTGCAATACTCATGTAGGGCTTGGACAGGACAGAATTCACTTCCCGAACTTCCCTGAATAGAGATAATTATAGGATCATTTTTCTTTTGTGTTTTGTGGTGACGAATGACAATTTGAACACTGTGTGGCAGGTACCCATCACCATGGAATGTGACATCCTGTACTTGCAAAACCCGACCTCTGTCTGCTACTGACTTTACAACAAGCTCTCCTAACCGTAGGAATGCATTAAAACAAAGGAGATACAATGCTTTTAACAACAATTGATTCAGTGGCTGAGAGACTGTCATTTTAGTTGCCTTGATAAGTTTGTGCAGGATCTCCTTAGTGATGGGTAACCTAGTATCTTGTGAAGGTAACAACCTACTACACCCTTTAAGTAATTTCTTAACAATAAAGGTTTGAGTTGGGTCAGGGAGGTTCAGGAGTTTATGCAGGTAACTCAATGCAGACACATGTGATGCAATGCTACTGGCACTGTACTGTTTTTCGAATAGATAACCGATAAAATTACAAACATTTTGTAGACTCAACGGAAGAGAGCTAGGACCTTTATTCATAGTTTGAAATAAGTTCCACGACTGTCTGTATGCAGCACGTGAAGCTCCCGAGAGCGACGCAGCCAAAATGGAACAAGTAGTTGGGTTCAGATCTGCAAGAGATGAGAGGGGATAGAAGTTGGCAGATGGTCCAGGTGAGGAGCCTTCTCCCTTACTGCCTGAAATTGAAAACGGGATAACTTATCTGCTATAATATTAAATTTTTCTGGAATATGCTTTGCTTTAAACCAAATATTGTGCGACAACGAAACAAGTACTAAGCGGCGTACTAAACGCATCAAAAGTTTGTCCTTACTAGATTGTTTATTTATGATATGTACCACTGCCATGTTATCGGACATGAATAGAATTTTCTTATTGCTCATTTTTGAACCCCAAATTTCCAGGGCTAGGACGATTGGGAACAATTCCTTTATTGCAATATTTATATTGGCAAGGCTTTGATCCCATTCACCAACAAACCAATGAGAGCCAAAAACTGCAGCGTAACCCAAAGACCCTGACGCATCCGTATATAATTTGAGGGTGTCTGAGGATTCCCAGGCCTCATGAAACAAAACCGATCTCCCTTTAAAATGCTCTATGAAGTGAAGCCACATAGTTAGATCTGCTCTCGCTTCACAAGAAAGGCGAATAAAGTGATGCGCGCTTTTAATACCTATAGTTAGATCAATCAAGCGCCGTAAAAAGGCCCTCCCAGGAACTACGACTGAACAAGCAAAGTTTAATAGACCTATAAGAGACTGAAGATCTTTCAAGGTGACCCTTTTTTTCTTATAATATTGCAGAAGCATGTTGCGACATTTATCGATTTTTTCCTGCGGTAAACGACTAACCATCTCCTGAGAGTCAATTTCTATTCCATAAATAGTCAAAGAGGTAACTGGCCCAAATGTTTTCTCTTTGTTAATAGGGATGTTAATTCTCTCACATAATGAAAGGAAATTGTCTAAATCATGCTTGTATTTGTCTGAATTTGCCGGGCCTATAAAAAAGAAATCATCTAGAATGTGTGACATTCCTGAAGCACCGAGCTTAGACAACATAACCCATTGTAATGCATCACTCAACTTTTCAAATATTTGACATGAGCAGCTAGCTCCCATGGGTAAACAACGTTCAAAATAAAATTGTCCCTTCCATGCAAAACCAAGAAGGTGGTAATCGAGCTCATTTACTGGCATGATACGAAACGCATCTTTGATGTCTGATTTCGCCATCAGGGACCCTTTACCAAATTTACGGACCAGAGCAACCACATCATCAATAGAATCATAAAAAACTTCGGCATTTTCTCTTGGAATATTGGAATTTACAGAGTCACCCTTAGGATATGAAAGATCGTGAATGATCCTAAATTTATTGGGATCAGATTTAGGGACAACACCTAGAGGAGAAGTTTTAAAATGTGAAAACGGAGGATATAAAAACGGCCCTGAAATCCTATCATTGGCTAAACCAGCATTAATATAATCCTCAACAACCTGAGGATGATCGATAGCGGATTTGTGATTGTGAGGGGGGTGAGTTGATGGGGTTGTTGTACATCCTAATCTAAAACCATATCTGATGCCATTAACTAAGTACTGTAACTTGGAAGTGTCATAACCCATTAATTCATTTTGTAAGTTTTCCGGGTTTATTGGTGTTGGTAGGGGCCTCCTCCCGTGGGGTATATGCCTGGGAGACTTTGACTCCAGAGCATTGTACTTTGGGATGGGGGCCATTACAGTTTTGGCATGAATGGGAATATCTACATTGTTTGGAGTTACACTTGAATCCTCTGTTGTATCCATAGCAAAATTTGTTTGCACGAAAGGGCTGATTTTTTCCCACATAAGGATGAGATTTATTCAGTGACCTAGCACCCATGGATGCTGCTTTAAGGCGAAGTTCTGTAACGGGTTTTTCCCAAGGCAAATGTGCCGATTCTCTAATCTTTCTGAAAGATTCATCGTAGTTTCTCCAGGCTTGATCAACATGAAGCCTGCTGATTTCTCGGACTGTATAAGCGTATTTAATCAGATTACATGCCTCTTGGGGAAATTTTTGTAAGTAAATGCAACTAAAAATATGAAAAGCATCTGTCCATTGATTTATTGATAGTGGGGTTTTGCTTGTAGATGCTTGTTGAAACTCAATTTTGTCTGCCTTTATTGTTATTGATAAGGGTTCTTCATTTGTGGATGGTAAAAGTAAGCGCATCTCCACATATTCATTATTCCATATTTTTTGCTTGATTTTGGGAGATACCATTGCCCCAAGAGGCACACAATGACTTATTTCAATGGGAACATGCTCATATGACCTGCTTGCTGACTCACCTGCAAAAACTGTGTCTAATAATGATGTAAATGATGAAGCAGCTGCGGATGACTTTTCCGTAGATAGCGCTGGAGCAGTCTGTCCATTTGGCTGGCTTGGAGTTAACGCCTCAGGGGACAACACCGTTGTAGCTTGATTCAGAGGTAGAGGTTGGGAGGCTGATGAGGCAGCTAGCGCTACGGATGACTTTTCTGTAGATAGCGCTGGAACAGTGTGTCCATTTGGGTGGCTTGGAATTAACGCCGCAGGGGGCAACGCTGTTGTAGCTTGATTCAGAGGTAGAGGTTGGGACGCTGTGTGCGTACCTAAATTCTGTTGTTGTACCAGTATTTGTTTTGCCAGCTCGGCATAGTCAATAGAGACTTGATTTGACACTTGAGTGACAGCAGGCCGAGGTTCCAGACTTGTAGTTTGATGAGTGGCTCCATGAGCTCCATCAAATGGTTCTCCTGTGCCGTTATTCTGAGGCAGGGTAGGTACAGATGTAGTTGGTTCTACCAGTGTGATCCCCGGGGACTGAATCTTCCTCCTTTTCCTTGGTGTTTTTCCAGCTTGTTTAGGAGGCATTGTTCCTGAAACATACCAAAACCATGTAAAACATGCCAAATTGGAAACCGTACCTTAAAATATTACCTGGTTATATGAATGGCAAATCATTAAAAGAAACACCCAACATTCGCTTTTATATATCTTGTCACCTTACGATATGTGCGAATATATTAGACTTCGATTAAACTAACTCTGGGTAGCAATTCAAAATTTCTCAACACAATCATTAACATTACTACGATAATACATAACCTCTTATCTCAATTGATCTATAGGGAAATTCCATTCATATCAACATTGTTAATAAACTTGATAACAAAAACCACTTTTTAAATTCCAAATGCGACTAATACATATAAAGACTAACCTCTGTACTGTCATTTAATATGTGGATAGGTACATAAAAACTCTGAACCTAAACTCCCACACAATGAGTACATATATACGGCCTACTCTGTACTATTGCTAAACAAAGTGGGTAGGTACAGGTATACTTTGTACCTAAACTCCCACACAATAAGTACATATATACGGCCTAACTCTGTACTATTGTTACACGACGTGGGTGGGTACAGGTATACTTTGTACCCAAACTCCCACACAATACGTACATATATACGGCCTAACTCTGTACTATTGCTAAACAACGTGGGCGGGTACAGGTATACTTTGTACCCAAACTCCCACACAATAAGTACATATATACGGCCTACTCTGTACTATTGCTAAACAACGTGGGTAGGTACAGGTATACTTTGTACCTAGACTCCCACACAATAAGTACATATATACGGCCTAATAAACTTTGTACTATTGTTAAACAACGTGGGTAGGCACAGATATACTTTGTGCCCAAACTCCCACACAATAAGTACATATAAGGCCCACACTCTGTAACATTGTTAAACAACGTGGGTAGGTTCATATATAAACTTTGTACCTCTACTTCCACATGATAAGTCCATATGGCCTAAAACTCTGTACAATCTTAATCAAACAAATAAAATATAGACTCTATACTATAGTTTCCTACATATTCTGCACCGAAGAATAAACGATATGGGAAACTTTGATTAATCCGTAACCATGTCCAAATAACTAATCGCTACATAAGACTGAAACCATTGTCATTATGAGCATCCTGGTCCTTAATAAAGCCATCGAGATTAAATAACAGAAGAAATAGCGCAAAATTTGCTTTATAAATTATGTATTGACAGAAACAAGCTAACCAAAAGTGCCTGTGTCAATATGATTATTTGGAACATATTTAAATGCCTAACCGCAAGTCAGTCATCTACTTGCCTTTAATTAACGACATTGTCTGACAGAGTATCTAACTTTATCTTTACGACCTAAATCTTGTATAGCCCACCATAAGCATAAACACCCCACTGTGCAATACATGTATAATGAGACAATGTTATACTGGCCTTAATAAGTTAGGCGACTGAATCACTGCATTCCTTATACTTCGAAGGAACTTCCGCATGGGCTGGTCGTGCGAGGGGGTGCAGCACAGATGTACGCCATCTTGACCCAGATAGCTCAAGTCATGCCAGAAACCCCTGTGGCGCCAAAAATGAATCCCCGGCAAAGACTGGGTCCTGATCTCCAGCTGCGTATTTGTCTTTACTACTTTGTCATTAAAGCTTTTGCAGGCTGCGAAAGGCAATCGTCGTATCAACTGTCCAATTATCACCATTTTTACACCGACGCCATCCCGCAAATATGCTGCCACAGATATGAGGTCTCCGGCTAACTTTTCACAACAAGTCAGATCACTTATATCATTTTCCCCGACCTGTAGGAAAATAATATCTGGCGGCGAAATAAAATGAAAAAGTTCCCTTCTAGCACCGAGTCCTTGAGATACATTAAGGTGGCGTAAACGAAGACCTCCTTTCCCACGGAAATTCACATTAAAACTGTCATCCAACTTCAAATTAATTATACCCTTACTAGAACAATATTCCTCCAATCTACGGATGTAAGAATGTCCAATGATACAAACATTAAGTCCAGAAGCCATACTTATCAAACGTCCCATTTGAAAAAAAAAATAAAAAAAATAGAAAATAAAAACAAAACAAAACAAAACAAAAACTCTTTGTACGGCTACTTAAACGATACCCCCGCACTACCAGACTATAAGCCGACTAAAAGAATAATCATTTTCAATAACGTAACTTACAAAGCACAACTTCTTGGCTTTCTTTAAGTGTCAGCTTCCAATTTCTTCGAAATATAAGTGTTTCAAAATCTACTGTGGTCAGCGTGCGGGTATCAAAATACAACTGATCCGCTCAGCTGACCACGTGACCCTAGCTCGTTAATTATTGGCTGGAAATTTCGCAGTCCACCGTCGTGAATCCCCAGCATGCTATATCTATTACATAAACCATTACACACATGTAAACAGTAAATACAACGCATTTAATACATAAATTCAATTATAATCATAATTGCTGTTTATTTGGTAAAATAGGATGGTAGCTTGAAAAAAGTAAACTATATTTGACATATGCTGTATAAAATGTAAAAGCATGTATAAAAATTTGAAAATTTTCTTTTTGTGAGCTCATCCTTCAAAATGGTATCAGATATTTTGGATCCCCCTGTAAATGTATACATGTAAACTATATCTATTACGGAATCATCATCGTTTATTTTTAATATAGAACAAGCGTACTATTTTGTCATATAGATATAAAGGCATATACAGCACCTAAATACAATCAAGCACCACATAAACAGTAAATATCATAATTGTAATGAGTACAACATTCCAGCGGATCATCGTTGTTTTGAAATAACAGGGTACCTACATGTATATAGAATTAAAAAACATGAATTTAATTAAACCCCTCTACCTATCATTATTATTCAGATTGCTTATAGATGATTTATTAGCAAAAGACTGGGAGATGTGGAATAAATTTCGATTTCATTTTTGTCATTCCACAGTTTATAATTTTTTTACAGGAAGAATCGAGTCCTATTTGTTCGTAAGTATTGAATTATATCACAAGTTCGTCTGCATCTATCACTTCAAGCCTAAGATCAGGACTCATTGTATGATAACTGGAGATGCATTTTCGGTAAAACATGGCTGATGTGCCGTACAAAGTTTTCCAATTTCCCATAATTTTTCTTGGTGTATCACCATTCACAGATATTTGATCAGTAAGGCTATATCCGTCAGATATCCACGTGGAAAGCACGGTCATTAGAGGGTATATCTTTCTGTTATGTTTGATTTCACCATATTTTACAGTGAGAACAGTTTCAAAATCCATCGCATCAACAGAAAGAGAAGCTCGGTCGCCATGAACAAATTCTACTTCAAATATCATATTGATTGGATCTAGTTCGACGTTTTTGATTGGTGAAGTTGGGCGAGGGTCACTCGCATTGTTTGGACCAATGACAACGGTCGTTCCAAATGGTATCCAATCAAGACCATGAGGGGTAATGGGAAGTAGGCTAGCTGTTCCATCGTGATACAAAGAAAATACCTGGGAGAACCCACTGCTCCAAGGCAGTTTGGCATACACCTGAATTAAATCAAGATTATTGTACACTTCCTTAGTATATTTACTTTTAGTGGCCATCGTGTGTTCTTCCATATACCCGGAGTCGATGTCGGTACCCTCTATGATATATTTGTTGTCCTGATAGAGGACGGTTTTGTTGTGAACCGTCTCCCGTTTTTTAAGCGTTATACTTTCAATGAATGTATTCACTGCTTGTGATGAGGAAAAGCCAAGTCGTACAATATTTTCCTGGGTTAAACTCCAGGAATGGTCCGGAATTTTCCAGGTATGAATTGTCTTATTTTTAGGATCAACTTTAAGTCTATCAAAACTGATGTACCGACGAGATTCACCCAAATAAGAGATATCCAGGTCAAAAGGTGCTCCTTCATCTTTAAATTTAATAGTCAAGACGGAACCGACTCTATGTTCGTTTGGGTCTCTTGTCAACGAGAGTTTGGGCTGAAAAAAAGTAACGGCCATTATAACGTAATTTGGGGAACCTGCAAAGTCAATCTTAAATTTATTTGTAGAAATGCTTTGTTCATATGGATCAACAGCTATATTAGAAAAGTTTAACGTAGGGCGACCAACATTGCAACCACTATAGTTTGGAAGGCGATTGTTGGAAAACGTTTTATACTTTGGATTTGATGCAGTCAAGCGGAACAATGTAGCGAAATCATTGTATACAGCCACTTTGACGTTTGCCTCCTCGGAGCAAGATGACCTGAAGCTCTTCTGATCAAATCTTGACCCAGGAACACTGTCTAATTTTTTAACTTTTTTAAATGTGATGTCGTCAAAACAAAACATATCACAATGGAATCCTAATTCGTCCAATTTCTGGTCATCGACGTCCACCAGAATGAAGTCAACTTCTGCCCCCCACTGGTCAGAAACAGCCACCAGAAGTTTTATTTTATGGTTACCCGCAGCAAGAATTACACCCGTACCGACAAGTCCACTTGAATGATAATTATTCCAAGCATTTCCAGTACCAGTTTGTGTTCCTGTTTTATATTCTCCCACTATGTTCCCGTCAATTTCGACCAAGTATTCGTCATGTGGTCCATCATTGGAAAATCGTATGTTCGAAATCTTTACATTGGTTTCTCTGTGTACACAAAATGTGTACTCTAGATAGTGTCCCTGATACATGTGCACAGCCTTCCTTCCACTGGCTTCCGATCGAGACACGCCACCTAAATCATTGTTGCCAATGTTCAGTGACCCAACAGTGTGTGAATCCTCTGCCTCAAATATGAAGGATTTTGAGCAAACAGTCGGAGTGATACAGCTTAGAAGGAATATAATTTTGATGCACTTGACGTGAATTGAATAATCTTTTACCTAAAACAAGAACAGGAAATTATGCATTTAATCTTACAATTATGCTTCTAGGCATGCAAGTATCATATGTTTGTCCGTTGAACATTTCTGATGAATGACTTCAATTCTTCATTGACTTGGCGTCCTTCTGTTTTGTACATACTATATATCAATGTAATATTTCCAAAAAAGAGTTGTGCCATCAATCTCTTATGTAAATTCATATGGGGCTTTAACTGTACAAAAGTTGAATGCATTTGTCTGCAGTGATGGAAGTCATTACCCCATGAAACCGAACGAATAAAAGAGAGCTTTAGAGAATCTGAGCCATTTTTGAAGTCTGCATGTTATTATAACATTCTTGATGCAGTGTTGATTATGTGGCACAGACTATGAAATACGTAGCAACCAAAATCAGCCCAAATCAATACAAATTGTATACTTACCTTTATAAACAGCATTGTTCACTAGTCGAGGTTTTCTGTCAGATTGATCGGAACATACGATTCCACGCCTTTATTTTTTTTTAAAAATTCAAACCAGTTTGTTGGGTTCCATTTTTATAGTCGTAATGAATTATTAAACACAGTAGAATTCATTAACTCGGACCTTAATTATTAATTTCTGTTTGTATAGCAAGTATTTTGATAGAATTAAATGTGCTCTCGCACTGGATGACCTAATTAATCATACTTCTTCATCCTAAACCGGTTTAAGAAGAAAAAATTCTTCTTTCTTAGGCGTTCCATGTGCAAAGTGTAAACATACTTTACAATACGTTATAATAAGACACATGCACGTCCTTATACATATTTAGTCCAGACGGACTTAATTAATGCAAATTTACATCTAAACATTTACCTGGATATCATGAAGATTGGATTGGCCAATCATGAGTACCTTGCTGTACTCTAATTTATCACACAGGTATTGATAACAGGTTTGTAAAGTATTATAAACAGGGGAAAAAAAAGTGACTAGATATAAGTCTGTAACAAACGGATTTTTAAGTGAAAGAAAATGTCTAATGACAAGGTGTTCAGTATCGCTCATCATCTAAAATGTTATTCAAACACAAACATTGAATTTAAAAAAAAAAAAAATCAAAGAGCAAGGGCCATTTAGGGCCTTTTTTGGCCCTATTAATTTCTGAAAAATTAAATCTTCATAGTTTTAGTCGACAAGGCAATAAATATCACTTGAACACTTGATGACTGATTTCTCCTAAAGTTGACGTAATTTTTTTGCAAGTCAATGCATTATGACGTCATGAATTGCGTCATTATTCATATATCCCGAATATTTCTTCAAAAATGGCCAAAATATGATGCTATATTTTTCAATATTTCGTATACAGCACAACCTCCGATCCAAAGTGTTCAAATATATTATGAAAGAACTGCTCATTAAGATTATAAAACATACTTTAATTTTTGGATCGAGGGGTGTGCTCATATTTCAATTCTTTGTTGAAGGTTCTAAAATTCACCCTTTTTTTGCAAAATTCAAGAACATTGCAATTTCACACAACCTGTTTTCTAGTACCTGGACTCTTTAGAGGAACCTTTCATATACAAACTGAAAGCACCAAGTCTCTTCTTTATATTGATGTTAAGAAAGGGACATAATGTGTTAGTAGATAAATTGGTGTATCTACAGGGCCATCAGTTTTATGCCTAAAGTGAACCTAGCTCTTTACAGGGCAAAACAGTTTCAATAGTACTGCACATAATGCCCTTGGGTAATTTTAAGATATGTGTTTAGTAACCACTTAATCCTTAGTGGAAATTCTAGATCCGTCCCTGTACGTATTCATATAATAGCTTCAACTAGTTCTGCATGGCCTTGTTAATTAAATTTCTGCATATTTTATTTAAAACGTTATTACCGAAACAAGCAAATTCAGAAAATTGTGGTCTCCCGCCTTTGAGGTTATTGGTTGGGATGGAATGATTTATTATCGGCCGCAGGGAGAGGCCGATCTATTTGTGGTTGTGTTAGAAAGTGCACATGGTGAAATGAGGCATTATATTTTGTTGTTTCGATAGAACAATTCCTAATTCATAGCATGCATCAAAGTTTTGATTAAATGATATTTTTAAAAAATATATATTATGCTTTAATTATTGTTATAAATGCATTTTAATCTTTTGTCAGTTTTCTATGGTTTTATGGAAAAAAAAAGTTTAGAAGTGCTCCCAAGCATGGGAGTGTATAATTCATAAATTTATAAAGAAAAAAATATAAAAAAAATAAAAAAAGAAGTTACTGAATTTACTTTGAATTTGACACAGGTGTGAATGACAAATAAATAATTTTTCGATACTTCACATTTATTGCGATGTCCATCATCGCGCCTGCCGAAATCATCGGCAATCTCACGTGAATATTTAGATCCATGGTATTGTGATCAGTACGTGAAACGTTTGCGGCCGATTTGAGGCTTTACATCAATATATTATCTTGTGGCATATTGTAACTGTCTTGTCTTTTCTGGCTTGTCTATCCAATATGCAAAAAATATTTTATATTTTGGAAGAAACAAAATGTTCTGGTGCAAAAGTTACAATCAAGATTCAAGTTCTTGAAAGTCAAATTTGAATAGGTTATGAGGTCAAATATCAAAAGTACATTCTGTAATGTCACAAGTAAATTGAAGTAATAAATATGATAATAATGAAAAGTATGAAAGATCCATCTCTTCAGATGCAGGAGCTTCAACCAAAGACATTTTTCGGGAAGTATGTCAAACTTGAAGATCAAGCCGACAAGGTCAAGAAAGTTGTTGTGCAGGAAATGAACATGTGAAATATGAAAGTTTTATCTTCTTCATTCAAAAATTATGAATAAAGTTAAGTTGTTTTTTTTTTAGTTTTGTAGCATTTCCCGTACCCCTAAGGATCATATTTGATAAATAAATCTAGAAATTTCTAAATACAGTAAAAAGTATAAGGAAGTCTTAAGTACAGTGATTTTTAGTTTTTTTTTTTTTAAATTGAGAGTCCATTAATGTTCATTGTCATAAAAATCAAATAATTAATGACCTTTTTGTTAAACTGATGTTTAAACAGATGTCCATCTGTCACCATATCTGATAATCTCTCTATAAACATTACACATATTTGACTTACACGATTTAGCTCATTTAGTGAAAAATATTGACCAAGCCGAGCACATTTTTTTTTTCACAGTTCGTTAGTTTGGTCGTTATTAATACACTTTGAAAAGCAATGTTTTTTGTTTAAAGTGCGTTGACTTGGTCCCCAAATTTAACGCACTTTCAAAAATATTTCCAAGGTGCGTAATTTCTCAACATAGCTTCTAAACTTCCAAATCATATACTTTTACCGTTTTATTAAGCCATCAAAAGATGTCTCCATCCACAAAGCTACTTACTGTCTGCTTGTCATTGTGGTGGCCGTGTTGTTCTGTGTTAGTCCACGTCTCTGATTACCTAGAAATACTAGTAATAATTGCTTTTAACTAGTTTCAAGTGAATTTAAGAAATCGAGCAAATATTTAATAATAAATTTATTTATGGTGGAAAATCGGTGAATACTGACAGCAAGGTGTGCGACTCGTTTGTATTTTCGGAAAGATAATAACTCCGTCATTTTTGCATATATATCTACCTTTAATTCGAGGAGACTTTGACTTTCCTGCTGAGTAAATGCACTAGTTGAAAGTTTTTAGAAAATTATTTCATAGATCGAATTTATTTTGAAACCCACAGTACTAGTGTTAATAAAGCTCGTGCTTCGGCAAGGGATCCAATATTCTATTCTGAACTGACTTTTCTATCTCAGTCCTCAAAGATGACAATTTGCTGTTACCTTTTACTGTATTCTTGGGTGGTCTTGTGTCTCTTGAGTAACGGTCTGATCCTCTGTTTCTTTTCATGTCTTAGATGGGTTTTGATGTCTAACAATAACGACTTATGTGACCACTTTTCCACATCTATATTAACAGGTCCGTTGAGACAAAGGACTTTTGAGATTTGTCGAACTCTTCTCATAATCCTTTTCCTGCTCATGAGTAACAAGTTTACTCCTCTTAAGGACATACGCAACGTAGTTTGAACTTTATTGTCTTTTTCCCTGGAGTTGAAGAGTTCCAATACTTAAAGGAACTGTGTGCAACATTTTAATGTCTATATATGGTGTTGTACACTTCCTTTAAAACAAGTTTGGATAAACAAAACATATAGAATATATGTTTAGTAATTTTTGTATATTTTTCTTTGAATTATACAAGAATTTTCATCAATTGATATCTTTCCAAAACCCCTGGTAAGGCATGCTGATTTTTTGTTTACGAACATCTGATGAGACTATAATCTTAAATTAAGAATATCTTGAAAATTTATCAGTAGGTAAGGTACGTTGCGTATGTCCTTAAGTTGAGTAAGCTCACGCGCACGAAGCATAGCCTCCACTGTCTTCCCCAGCAACTTCATTCTCGCCTCAAAATCTAATCTTTTAATTCATTTCCGGACATTGGGCGAGCAAAATTTTGATTTCGACGGTCAGTTTTAATCTAAGCTTTATGCAAGCTTAACGGCAAGACTGATAGCTTCATTTAAAGACTTTGGACGACTTTGTTTAATACGTATTCTCATGCCCAGGTCAACTAGAACATCAATAAATTGCTTTTTTGCCAACGTATCTTGTAAGTCTTTATCAACAGAAGGATAAGCTAAATTCATGAGTCTACGGATCGTTTGTCCAAGCTCAGGCAATGTTTCTGTGGCCTTTTGATGTTTTTCCCTCCATTGTATTCTGTACAATTCCATATGGTTCGCAGAAAGAAATCTCTTCTCTAGTGTTTTATATGTAGGATTGAATACATGTGAGTAGCCTATAGTATACATTGTACTTATCCTCTTAACAAAACCTAGAGGTAAAGACCTTTCTACTTATTCGTCCATTTGTTTAATTCTGAGCATGCGTCACAATGAAATTTGTAATTCTACACACTGTCATAGTCGACTTATGGGGTCGAGTGTCCGGCAATTCTGTCAGTCTCTCTCAGAAATGAGTTCTCAATTCTTATCTTCTCAATTTGTCCTTTAGGGGCAGTGATCTCATTTTCTCATTTCTTCCATAGTTGTATCAATGTATATTTCACGGTGACAAACCTCCTGGTCTCGAGGATCCCGTCACCGCTGCAACCAAATATAAATAACATGTTTCTCTTCTTTACGGGATTCATCAGTTACTAAACTGAGATTCCTCAGTTACTAAACTGAGATCAAAAATCAATAACAGCTTAAAAATAACATATTTGCCATCTAAAATTTAGATATCTCCGTGCAGAATATTTAAATATATTGACTCAAAAATGGTAAATAATTCTTCTTTTTTAAAATATTCTTACATTGATGAAATACATTAATAAAGTCAACCTGTTGGGGGAAAAATGGGGGTGGGGGTCATTTGCATATATTAACGAAAGTACAAATAAGCTTTTCAAAGGTTTATCATAAATCAAAATCGAGGTACCAAACTTCGATGAAAATTTAATTTCGTGGATCGACTCAACAACGAAATCCACGAAATTTGGTGATCCACGAATAATGCCGGATGAAACCACAGTATATAAATACATTTACAGAGTGAATTAAAACAAAGAATGACTAAACACATATTTATCAACCTGCACTAAAAATACAGGCAATCGGA